ATTCTTGTAAAGAATTCGACATCCAGGGAATGTCCTTACTCCATTAGCCTCAAGATTTTGTGGCTGATCAACAATTCGCAAACGCTCCATGAGCCAAATCTACAAAAATAGAGAAGAAAAAAATTAGTTTGCAATTTTACACAAGCAGGTGGCGCGCGCATCAAAACCAGTTGCGCAGTAAAAGATTACGCTGGCCATTCCAGCGCAACTTCATGACTTGAGCTTAAATACGACGTAAAAAAAACGTACGTGTAATAGGAGTGGACTTCCTGTGAAACCGTTTTTGTTAGGGTCTCCCCTAAGGCGATTCAAACATAGAACGGTTTACGCAAAAGCAAAAGGAGCGGGTGAATGACATCCCTCTATTTTCTCTACTATGGACACCATGGAATAATCTCCATACTCTTTGCCTATCCTAAGCAAACAATTAACAACAAGACAATAACATAAAGCACGAATTTTAAAGCGTTGTTTAGTCATGTTGTCACGAGGGGCGATGAAGTGTTCAATAAATTGGATCAAATTCACGCCTTCTTCACTTCCAATGTTAGTCATATCTTTGTCAGACAAACCAAAAAATCTTTGGAATATAGGTTTGGAATTCGACAAGGTAGGCGCATAGGTCACAGGGAGAGTATTTGTAGGGAAGCCTAGCAAGGCCTCAAACTCACTAGGATATGGGACAATCTCATCCCCTTTAAACAAGAAAAGATGATGGTTAGAGTCCCAATGGTTGATGGCGGCATGAAGAATATCAAAATTAATCACTAGTTGTATATAGTTCAATAGAGGGTTTAGGTGGTAATTTTTGAAAGATAGTTTGTCCTCGGTTGAGAGAGAAGTGACCCATTGCTTCAAACGTTGTTCAAAGGTTTTCACCATTGTTCAAAAAAAAAAAAAAGGAGAGAGAGAGAGAGAATTTAGAGAGAATAATTCTTTTTAGATTCTTCTTACTAAACGAATGAATGCGAGATACTAAAAATCCTACGCGAGGCCACGCTTAAATAGACCCAAGAGGGAAATTTTTTTGGCAATTTTCGCTCGAAGGAAAGTTCACCAGCAGGTGTCGTGCGCAACTCATGAGTTGCGCACGACGTACGCACGCAACCAATTCAAATGCGCACGACGGCCGCGCGCAACTCCTACTGTTGCGCGCGTCTGCTCTACTGCGGCATGTAAGTTAGGATTATTTCCATATTTTGGACTACATAATGACGGAATCTCACGAGATCTTAAGAAAAATCATACGCATACCTTTTACTAACCCTTGTGTCCTTTTTCCTTGATATTTTCTTATTTTTCTTATTTTCTTTTTTATTTTCCTTTACTTTTTTATTTTCTCCTTTCCTTTTTTCCTTTCTTTTTTCCTATTCTTCTTCCTTTGTTTCATTTTTGTTATTTTTTGAAGGGGGTAAGTTGGGAACCCTTCCCTCCCTCGGAAATTTTTGCAAATTTTTATATAACAAAGAAAATAATAATAATAAAAAATATAGTAAAAAAATAAAAAAATGTACACATGGAAACAAAAGAAAATGACATATACATACAAAAAAAAACGTCATATGTACAGCAAAAATGTGTGTACAAAGGAGGTCACGATGCTCGGCGACTCCCAGGCGGCTGCTGCACATCCTGCAAAATCCGAACGAAGATTAATACATAAAATATGTGGTAACTTCGTTAAAAGAAAAATAAATATATAATAAACTTATCACGATCATCCGATGATCACGGCATGACAAAGTGATGAGAGCTCTCCGATAAGTAGCTCGGAAAGGGCGCAAAGTCCTCACCATGCCGTTCATGGTCTCTCGCGAAACCTGTTCCAAATACAAGGACAGTTAGAAAAAATGTATATGAAAATATATAAATACATATGCATAAGGAACATACCGACTCAACCGTCTCAGGAACAAACGGTATCCCCTCCTCATCCTCCGCTGCTAGAAGGATCTCACGAATTACCGACCCAACGACATCGGTATACGTGATCTCTGTTATAGGAGGCACCCCACCACCTAGCTCAACTCGCTGAATAATAAACATAATAAGAGGGTCAAATTTCCGAAAAAATAAATATAAATAACAAAAGAGAGAAAGTATTAACCGGAACAAAAGCTGGGAAAGGAGTCAGCCTGGATGCAATGAAAGTCGGATACGATGCATCCGGTAGCACCAGTTACTCTGCTGGATAACCTAGGATCGCCTGAGTTAGATCCTCGGTAGACAGCAAATCCGGACGTAACATACGGATCGGAGGATCCACGGTAACCCTAGGCTCCTCAAATGCAAACTTCCGGAGAACACGCTCGCCAAAAAACCAAGCGTCCGTCCTCTAGAAGACTGGAAGTCCCTGATAAAAGGCTAGGAAACGACAATAAATCATGCCAGCCCGGACAGCCTCAGGAACTCCGACGATCAAACTCCAAGGACGGAGATCGATTTATAAACACAACCATATGAAAAATCATCAGAAAATAAATAATAAAAAATCAAAAGATGCACATGTAGTTAGAATACTCACCGACGCATAAGTCGCCAAAAGGATCCTCTGGCGAAAGTCGCTGGCTGAAGTGGCTCGTTTCTTCTTAATCGTGACCAATCGATGGCCGATAGGAAAAAGAGCAGCCCCAAGCATCTTGAGGGCTAAGAAAGGAAGGTACGAGTATCCCCAAGCTTAAAACCGAAAAATGATAACCATAAAGGAGAAAAGCAAAAATAATAATTGAAAGAAGCTTAAAGTACGTACCTCAAGGATATGACTGTGCCATGTAAGGGAGATCCGAGGCACCTTAGTAGCTGCCGCAGAATCCATTACCCGGGTCGCCTTGCCCATAGCTGTAAGTATACGGGCATACGACACCTCCGCCCAACTCAGGTTACCTACTTGCCCCAAATAACTTAGGAAAATAAGAAACCCAATAGTGAAACGTTCTCCTCAGTCACTACAGATAGTGACGGAAAGAACGTGAGCAATGCATATCCGAGCCAACTGCTCAGGTGTACACTGCAGATCAAGCTTGTCAGCCGACAACTCGTCGGCAAGAACCGAGTACGGACAATACTCCGCGTACACGTAGAAGGGCTTATACTTTTTGCATGTTTAGCAAGCTTTTATTTGCAAACGGTAGGGTAGGACATGCTTGTCTAGCATCTGTGCTTGAACATGTCGAATCTGGGAGATCTCCTATGTCCAGTGCCTTGGAGAAACATTACGCGGCCTTGACGAAGCAAAAGCTGACCGAAAATCCTTTAGGAAGGGCTCTCTGGTACTGGTGCAGGTAAAAGCGCATTCAGAGTAGCCCCTGTGACACAAAACAGGCACCGTGTCATGGTGGTCTTCTGCCGTGACACGGTGGAATCTGCAATTTTTTTTTTCGACTGATTTTTTTTATTTTGCAGATTTGGTTGATGGAGCGTTTAGAACTTTTTGAAGCCCCCGACGATATTGAAAAATATGGTCCCAACGATCTAGTCCGCAGGAAGAAGAATTACTCTGTGAACATGTCGGATGAAGATTGAAAGAATTTCTTTGCAAAGAGGGAATTTTCCGTTTGTTGGGTGGTGCCTTGGTGGAGGCTTACTAGGATGGTTGGTACGAATGATACTTTGTATTGTCGTGTTCCTAGTATCTCAAGACTGACTTTTTATTGTCCTTCTTGATTGATGCAATAGTATGGACTTGAACAAGTAATTCCACGCTATAACGATAGTCCTCGTGAAGTATCGTTGCATGAAAGTAACGTTCACAAGTACGAGGCTTATAGGATTGGAAGACCTTTGTGGACCGTTTCTGCAAGTAACCAAGCTCCTCCTGCCTTATCTAGTGCAAACAAGGCATGGTTGAATCCTAGAAGTAAAAGGGATCTAGTCGAATCACGCAACTTTGATGTGAAGGGGTGTCTCGGAAATAAGAAGGCGCCTCCTAAAGATCGTCTCGGTTTGAGAACACAAGGGAATGAGTTTAAGACTCCTACAATGCCTAAGAGGAAGAACTATGTGAAAGGGAAGGGTAAAGAGAAGATGGTTTATAGAGAGAAGCAACCAAGGAATTCTAAGAACGGTGAAAGGAGTGGAAGTTCGACTAGGGGTGTGACGGTTCGGGCTACAAAAGACACATTAATGGTGAAGGCTGACCTAGTTGAAAAAGAGAAGAAAGTTCCTAAAGTGAAGAAGGATTAGTTCAATATTCCTTTGCTTTTATGATTTATAATTTTTAAAATAAGATGCATGATGCCAATAATTGTAGTCACATTTATTTTAATAATAATAGCATAATTATTTTCGCCTTAAATAAAAATTATAATTTTTTTTGTTATATATATCCGAGTCAAGAAGTCGGACGCAAGAGAAGAATGCAAATAAAAAACGTCGAACAAATAACTGAATTTGTGAAAACTGCGTCACTAAAAAAAAGGGAAAAATATGAGATTTCATCGTGACACGGTGGAAATTCTCGTTGCGAGGCAAACAATATTTTTTTTTTTTTGTTGTAGGTCTACTTGACCGACGGAGGAATGATTTTATGTTTTTTAAAAGTGGTCGGGCCCCCTTGAGGGGTTGCCTACGTATCCTTAAAAAAGAATCAGGTCGAACGTAGCTCTATTGGGTCATGAACCCATGCAACTAGGCATAAAATTTATTGAATTGATCCAAGTTGGTTAAATTGTGGAAACCGTTACCGTCCATGTCTACCAATTGTGCTGCTCCGCCGGACAAGATGGCTTTAACAATATACGGGCATGACCAATTTGGTCTGAATTTTCCTCTTGGATCCTACACATTTTTGCAAAGCGCCTTAAGCACCAGGTCACCTTCTTTAATGTTCCTAGTCTTGACTTTTTTATTGAAATGTCGCGCCATACGCTGTTGGTAGGTTTTTCGTCAAGTAAGACTTTATATATGTATGTTTATTGCTTTATATATGTCTGTCTAATGTGTTTATAAGTAATGACATTACATATATTAAGATTTATGGCTTGAACAAATGTGCAGGAAGATAGAAAATTGCATTTACTGCTTGGTTGTAATGATGGTGCTTTCAAGATCAATGAGAGGAGGCCACCATAAGGTTTATGTCAGAGTAGGTGACAGGAGAAGGTGAAGACAGAAAAAGAAAATAGAAGGGGAGAATATATATGGTATCATGCTAGTGCTTCGTATATTGGGTAATACATACTCTAGTTCACCCATTGCAATGAATCTAAAGCTCGTATGTAACCAATGATTTGAGCAATGTTACATAAACAAAACACCTTCATCAAGATTGCTTCAGATTTATTATGTCTAATTTTATCAATTAATTTTCGTGTGATTAAAGGGTGTTATCTCATTTCTGTGTAGGGTGTTATCTAAAGCTCGTATGTAACCAATGATTTGAGTAAGGTTAGCATCCATGGGTCTTCTTGATGCTCTTGCCATCCGCTCTACAATCTGGAAGGTTCTCTCTCTTTCTATTCATTTCATATTCTGAATTCATTACTTACTTTCTTGCGGACTTGTTGTTTTCTATAATTTGGTAATTTAGTTGCTAGTTTCTTGGATATGTGACTTTTTAGCTGATTTTTTTATCAATTAATTAATGTTGTCCTGTTATTGTTTAGTTTTTCTGTTAATGGGTTTAAACTATTTTTTTATATGCATTCTCTTATCCTTTCGAGGTCTGCTTGCTCAAGTCATAGCAATCAGCTAGAAGTGATTGTTAGAATGAGGTTTTGTGTTTACATCTAAGATTATTTGTGGCTATATGTGTGAGTATGGAGTTAGTGTTCTGCTATTCCATGTAGTGCAGTAAGTCTATAGATTGATTTTCAGCCATTGATCTATCTGTATATAGTTTGAGTTACAGTCTGACAAGTCTTTTTCCTTGATTGTTAGCTTAATTTAATTGATAGAATTGGATGTGAGACTGATGTTGCTGCTGTGAATTTTGTAAACTGATTGTAAAATAAATAAGGAAGCTCAAGTCTTTTTGATTGAACTAGCAAAAGGGTTACAAAGATAAATAAATAAGGGCTCAGGCTATAACTCTCAATGGTAGCTTGACTATGCACATTAATTCATGTCTATCCTCTATAACAACATTGTTCTGTTGGAAATTTAGAGTATACTTTCTTGCAACAAATGTAAAAAGCAATAAACTCTTTAAACCTTTGTAACTTTGTTTGATTGTTGTGTTTCACTTTTTACCAAGAATTGTATGATTGTCTTTCGGTTTGACTATCTTGTCTTTTTGAAAAATAATGCTTTTTTTTTTTTTTTTGAAAACTGAAAAATAATGCTTTTAGTTTTTGGTATTGTGTTTTAGGTTGAAAGGTAGATCATATATTGGAGTCCTTGACGATGCTCAGAGCTCTTTGTCTCTTCTTGATATCCCTTTCACAGATAAAAGCAATATTGTAGTAATTAATTCCTCTACTTATTCTTTTTTGATGATTGAGAAGCTCCATCTTGAACAATTGTATGGTAGTTTATAAAATTTGCCTCTTTCTTATGCAAACATTAGGTTCCAATTGCTTGTATATTTGAGGGTGGATCTGCTTTGCTTCCAATATCGGTGGCTAAGGTGCACTAACTATCATTTGAGCATTTCTTATGATCTTCCCACCTTTTTCTCTGTAATTACAAGAGTGCTGCTATGTTGGGTTACTTAGATTACTGATGGATCCTGTTGGGTTAATTTTGCATATATGTTAATTTGTTTTCTGTTGTTCTTTTTTTGTGAGTCTACTTAGAGTATATTAATTTGTTTTCTACTGTTCTTTTTTTTTGCGAGTCTAATTAGAATATGTTTTAGATTATATTTATTATTAGAATATGTTGTCCAGTATATGATTCAGTGTTTGATGCATCTTCCAAATGCCTTTTCAGTTGCCAATAGTGCCACTAGAGCTATTGCTGGAGATGGTGCTGCAGGTGCCGTTTACTATTTGCAGCTCCTGCAATTTCCCTTGATTAGTGGCGACGGAGGAAGCCACAAGAACCTTTTTCCCGTTATTATGTAATCTTTGTTTTAGTTTTAGTTATTAGGAAATAATTAAAGCAGCTTTTGCTGATTGTATATTATCCTTTCTTTTTGAAAAAATTATTCGTTAATTATTTACTATATATATATATTGATAAAATAATTGTGCCAACTAGCTTTCCAACATGAGCTGGATTTTTTTTTTAATTGGATCTCATAGTATTCGTAACGAGCAGAAGTTGTCCGTTACAAATAACCTCGTTATTCGTAACGGGCGCATGAAAAGCCATTACAAATAACGGGGTTATTCGTAACGGGCACCTAAAAAGCCCGTTACAAATAACAGGGTTATTGTAACGGGCACCTAAAAAGCCCGTTACTAATAACCCATTATTCGTAACGGGCATTTATGTTGCCCGTTACGAATAACCCATTATTCGCAACGGGCATTTATGTTGTCCGTTACGAATAATAAATTATTCGTAACGGGCTTTTCAGGTGCCCGTTACGAATAACCTATTATTCGTAACGGACGCTGCCCGTTACGAATAAGATAGGCCATCCGTAACGGCCGTATACGTAACGGCTATTGCCCGTTACGGATGGACAGTTTTTGCCCGTTACGGATGGCATTTTTTCCATCTAACTCTTCCATCCTTCTTTGGAAATGGAACCACATTTGTTGTCCACTCTGGATACTTGGATACTTTGATGAAACCTGCGGTCAATTGCTTTCTTATTTCTTCTTTGATTTTGAGAGCCACATCCGATTTCATACGGCGCAACTTTTATTTGACAGGCTTCATACCTGGAATGAGTGGTATCGTATGCTAAGCTATATCCCTGTCAATTCCTGACATATCTTGGTATGACCAAGCAAATACATCAACAAATTCACTAAGCAAGTTAATTAGCTCTTTGCGTTCATCTTTACTTAGTGTTAATCCAATTTTTACTTCTTTAATAGTCGTATCATTGGAAATATTTATTGTTTCTGTATCTTTGATAACTGCCGTTTTATTTTCATGTTCTTCCATTGCTTTTATTATTTCTTTGTCATTTTTTTCATTAGCAAATCAATATTGATCAGGGTTAGGGGAATGACACACATCGTAAGCAAAGGTATTCATTTTATTGAATTCATCGGTCAATACATCAAGAGGGGTAAGGTTAGCTGCGACCTCACCGGAATTATTTGGGCTAGAAAGAGAAGACTCAACAAGAGACTCAGGATTGGACTCTATAGCATAAATAGGGTCGGCCTTAGACCCTAAGGACTCGTCTACAGACTTAGACTCATACTCGGACTCGGACCTAGACGACTCAGACTCATCAAACATAGGACCTTCGCCAGCGGTTATTTCCAACTTCTCTCCGCTTGGTGTAGTGATCCTCAATGTCTTACGCCATCCCTTTGAAATATCATCAACCTGGACGATTAACTCGGAGGGGTCAAAATCCTTGTTTGATATAACATCTTGAATGAGCTCGGAATCATCATTGCATGTAGACTTGGATTCATTCTTTTCTAGTCCAAAAAGAAGGTTAATGTTTAGATCATCATAGCTTGGACGGGCTGGTTTCTCAGTTGTGAAGAGTTCTTCTCCTTCATCGACAAAGTCACAATCGAGGAACATCTTGAATCCTAGTTCACGCTTCCCATCGTGGAAGAAAGGCTCAGGGAATTCATAGCATGGGAAGTCTTCCCCTTCTTTGATGTACTTGCCATGAGGATGAATGGATATGGATCCATGGCAATTTCCGTCTTCATGATTCGAGCGTTATTGCGAGCCTTCATTTTCAAGAGGGCATGTTTCACATCTTCTTTTTTTGGCTTGAATCCCAAGCCAAAGGTATCTTTCTTGAGTGCACCAGGATGGCCCCAAAGTTTAGCCATTTTCTTTTTGAGTTCGAGGGTCATTCTAGGGAAATGACCTTGCTTCTTCATAACGGCATTAATGTTGGTGTTTGAATAGGGATCGAAGTCGAGATGACACTTCTCCTCTTTTTCGATCATGAGAACATCATCGAGTGAAAACCCCCAAAGATCTTCATCTTCTTCGTCATGTTCGACATGGACGATAGGAGTGTCAATAACTTGAATGCGCATGGGAGAGGCATCAATGGTAATTGGAACCCCTCCAACTATGGCCTTCACAATCTGGTGCAACGATGATGGGATCGCCTTTAGCTCATGATTGAAAGAGGCCTTAATTTCCACCACCTGAAACTTGGTGCGACGTTCAATGGCCCCAGTATTTATGTTTAGTATGATAGTACCCACAGCTTGACGGCGAGTATTATCATAAGCGCGAATCCCTTGAGTAGAGGGAGTCAGTTCTTCATTCTTTATGCCCAACTTCTTTACAGTGCGGAGTGGGCATACATTGATTACAGAGCCATTATCAACCAGGCTCATAGGAACATTCATCTGCCTACACACCACAGTGAGGTGTAAGGCCTGTTATGTTGGTCCCCTTCTCGGGGTAGATCCTTGTCAGAAAAAGAAATCAAATTGCTAGTACTTGGCAATTCAGTAGTGAGAAAGTTGACCAGTCCTTGAGGAGTCATATCATCATCAACTCCTATTTTCACCAGCGCGTTTCACAGCCTTTCGATGCTCGTGAGAGGTGGCCAAAAGTTTCCATACATTCATTTCCACCTTGGTCTTTTGTAATTGTTTGACCACATCGTTGTTCACAGGATCGATGGGATCAACTATTGGTTGTGATTATGGTGGAGGTGGAAGTGGACTAGGTTGTTGCAACCATCTACTTCTGGTGAGAACCTTAACCTCAAGGTCTCCCCAAAAATCTTCACTTGTGCCAAGAGACGAATAGGCTATATCCTTGAGATAGACGTCTCCATCGTCATTATCCCAAATTCCATTCACTTCTTCATAGCTCAAGACAAATACCACTTCCGGCAAAGGTTCATTCACAGGTTGAATGAGTATTGATGGATCAAAGGAGACTTCATCTCCCATGATAGCCAAAGCATCAGAAAGAGGACCTGTTTGAATATTAGGCTTCTTGCCTCCTGGAGGGACAGGAAGTTGATTAGCATGAATTAGGTCTTGGATTACATCCTTCAACCTCCAACACTTCTCAGTATTATGACCCTTGCCTTGATGAAACTTGCAATAAGCATTGGGGTCATAACTAGCGGTTCTATTCTCTGGTCGAGGTTCTAGAAACGATCTGATTGAAATAATCAATCCTTGACCATGCAAACGGTCAAAGGCAGCGTCATAAGTCATTCCTAAAGGCGTGTAAACCCTCCTTTGCCTTTGGAATCTTTGAGGAGGAGCATTAAGAGCCAACACATCATTGATATTGATATTGTTGGTAGCATTATTAGGCTTGGAAGACGAAGAAGAAGGAGTGTCGTTCTTATTGTTTATCCAAGTGCTGTTATTATTGTTGCTACCAACAGTCTTCATCAGTACATCTTCGATATTAATTCCAATATCGTATACATCTTCTAAGGTACTCAGAGGCAGAAACTTCAAGTGTTGCTTGTACTTATGAGACAAATTGGCAATGAACAAGCAAACCATCTCTTTTTCCTTGGGGGATCCACCAAGAGTGCAGCTGTAATCCTCCACCTGCTTAAGTAAGTGGTGAAGCCTTCATTCTCTTTCTGTTTGAGAATGGAGAGTTCACGTTTAGAAGTCTTGGCCTAAATGTTACACTTGTAACGATTCATGAAGCTTTCGGCAACATCCTCCCAGGTCGCAACATGTTTGGATTCCAAAGAGTAGAACCATTGTTGATGAAAGGAATGGTGTCCTTCGAACAAGTGTACTATTCCATTAGTGGGTTCAGAATTATTAGAAAGCTAATATATTCAGTGAGGTCAAGTGATCGGAATGCCTGGGTGTAGGCTGCTTCCGATCATTAATATTAATGAATAATTAATATTACAGCTTAATCTTGACTGAACCCTTCGGGTCACACCCAAGCATTCAACAAACCAAAACGACGAATTAATTCGGAAGGAATTAATGTGTCGACCGAGTAATATTTATTTAGACGTCGAAAATTCGAGCTTAGAGCGTCGGAATTCGAGTCGAAAAATAGTGAAAGACGAGAAATAGTAATAAATCAATAAAAGACCAAAATACCCCTAGCATCGGAATGCCCAAGCAAACCGAGTGCTAAGGGCGTATGGCCTAGCATGGTGGCTAGCATGCGCACCAAGCCGAGCCTAGGCTGGCTGGTGCGTGCTAGCGCACCCATGCAAGCATCGCAAAGCTAGGCGCTGCCTAGTGCGTGCTAGCATGCTAGGCACATCCTTGTGCGCGTAATGGCTAGCAAGCCATGCCGCAACAAGCTGCAGCAGCTAGCACGCTAGGCGCGCCAACTCGCCACAGCTAGCAGAAGCATGGCTATGCCATTGCTTGCTGCCTAGCAGCGCTGGCCAAGGCACAAGGCCAGCAGCAGCCCGCACAAGCATGATGGGCTTGCTGGCCAGCAGCGCCTGGCAGCCCGCGTGCGAGTGCTGGGCCTGTTCGGCTTGCTGGGCGTGGTTGCCACGGATAGCTGCACATGGCAGCCCACCTTGGCTGCCTTGGTGCCCAAGGGTGGGTGCCATGTGGCTTGTGGTCCTTGAGTGTGTGTGGAGTGAGGTGGCCGGTTATGGGAGAGGGAGTGGGGAGCAAGTTTGGTCCCCCCCCTTCTCCAAGTGGTCCTCACCTAACCACTCACATGAGCTTGCCACTTGTTGATTTATTACTAGCTTGATTATTAATTTTATTTTAGCTTTAAAACAAAATGGAAAAATCATACTATCCCACATTGATGGGAGAGTAAATGATACTCCCATCATTTCCTATAAATACCCAAGTATGGGCATTGGGAATGTGGCTAGAGTAAGAGTTGGAAAAGGCATCACAATTAGTGAAAACCTTTAAACTCAATATAATTACTCAGGTTTTATTGGTCGGGTCTTGCTAACCCCAAGACATTGGACCTAGTCGGTTTTGTTGGTGCGGGTGGACTTCGTTGGAGGTCTCCGTGTGAGCGGGACTTGAAGCTTTCAAGTAAGAGCTCATTTTGGAGCGAAGCACGCGTCAAAGGTAATTAGCTTATCTTAATCTTGTGATTAATTTAATCATGTTTATGGTTTTATTTATTGCGAGTGCGGTCTTGTTTTTGGGTTTGTTTCCGCGGTGAGTCGGACTCACCAAACCCCAACAGCGGTATCGG